CTTCTGAGCAGTGGTAATGAGATGTATTTTGACGACAGAGTCCTCATATCTGGAATATGCAAATCTTTTCAAAATGCTATGAGACCAACATGTCAGAGGACAACTGTCAAATAAAGTACAGATTAATGCGCTACTGACAAACTCCATTTAAAATCCATGGGTTGCTATTATGGGATGGCAAGATAAAACTCTATGAATATTAAAAAAACGAGATAACATCATTAAGTATTTAGCACCACTGCAAACTCGCCGCTCCGGTGAACGCATTAAACAAATGATATTTGGCACCGTTGCCGAATATTTTATCAAAAGAATCATCGCCGGAGGCAATTTTTTCTCTCTTTACGCTGTGGAGCAAAAAAAAAAAACATAATCTTGGATGAAGATTTTCAATTTTGTATATTACTTGATGTCAACAAATTTGTACAGAAATTATTGTTTAAATATTTAAGAAGCAAATTTTAAAATGAAAAAATCAGGAGAAAGGAATGTTGATTTGGGCCATAGACATTTTAAACTTCAGTGATTTGGAAAAAGTTATTTGACCAAGAGGGAATCTCTAAGCCTCACAAAGGATACAGTGGTTCTTATTTTGGTTAGAAATAAAGAATGGTGCGTGTTAGCCCCCAAACACAGACACGTTACAATATTTGAAATTATAACAAAATCTTATTTCAAAAATCCATACATTGATTCAATTCTTTAGAAATTTTGAAGGAATAGGGTATATAGGTTCACAAAATACGTTGGTAATTAGCTCTAGTTGAAATAGAAAATTTATTTTCTATTAATAGAATGATACTCTTTATTTTCACACATGCACATACGTAAAGACCACAATAAATCAAATTTGAAAGAGAGAGAGAGACTATGGACAGAGTGAACAAACGACTTGATATATTCCCCACAATACACTCATGGACAAAAATAAATTTTACCTTTTAACATGTATATCAGAATTCAGATAACAACTCTGAAAGATATTTGATACACAGTGACCTTTATTGAAGACACACGAGATAACCAAGTGTGAATAAAATCGTCTCTCTGTCTCCTTTAAAAAACGGATAATCGGCGACATAAAATACTTTCCACTTCCTTAAGTTACGTCTATGAATGTACATTGCTCGGTCCAAGTTCGTTGAGCATGTTACTCTCACACTAATCAATATGAAGTTCATGGTATGTTAGGTTATAGTCCAGTAGCGGCCATTAATAAATCCCTTCAACCAGGGAAAAACAGAGCTGCAACTTCCAATCTCTGTATTCCGCATTATAATTCTCCTGGAGTTTCCCGTAACGTCATATACCTCCAGGTAATTGTGTCTTTGATCGTTACCCAATGTGTTTTCTACAGTGGCGTTTATTATGTAAGTTGAAGAAGATAATTTTCTATAGGATATTGTTTTCTTAAGAAAGAATGCTTTAATGTTCTCAATCCTGGCCTCTCCTGGCCGTCCATCGGAGGTGGGATTAGTTCAGATTATTCAATTTTATTTTATAAATGTAGACGATTATCAGATGAGTCATCAATAAAAGATGAGTCTATAGAAATAAAGGTTGCCTCTCCTGTCATACTAGGCGCCATCTATTGACCGTCTTCGCAAACTAGAGGACTTGGGTCGGTGACAAAGCTGAAACACTAGCTTTGGTAAACTGAGAAGAGTCCAACTGTAGACCATGGTTTCGGGCTAAAACTCTGGTTAGTCTAGGACGGGCTTTGATTTTATGACATGCACGAGGGATC